AGAAATATGTATATATAAATTTTATATAAATTTTCCCTCATAATGGTGTAGTTACAACATCAACTATAGTTTCTGAGCCATACCTCTTAGAATAAGCATGCCATGATTTTTAGTTCATGATTACCAAATGCATTTGTGCAATTTATTAACAACAACAAATTGGTAGTTGATGAATCATTTACATCCTAAATTTGAATCATACAAATATCTCTAATATGCTCACCGAGACTCCATTTATTTGAAACAAACAAACAAACAGTTAAATACAATTTAAAATCACTTTTCTGTTTTAATATATTTATTCCTATGACGCAAAGCTATTTTCAGCGTCATTACTCCAGTATTCAGTGTCACATGATTCTGTAATATGCTGATGTGGTGCTCAAGAAACATTTATTCTTATTATTAATTATTATTAATTAATTAATAATGGAATGATGTGGAAATATATCTTTCCAGGATTATTTTTGAGAACATTGAAAACAATAGCATATATATATATATATATATATATATATATATATATATTTAATGCATCCTTGCAAAATAAAAGTCTTTTTAAGAAACCCTGCTGACTTCTAACTTTTGAAGGTTAACTTGGATACAGCTGTGAAAGGCCTGTTCCTACCGCATGGTGAAATAGCCTTTTCTGTTCCCCTTGAAAAAAATATTGTCCTTTATCCTCTGAAGTCAGTATGATTGCTTTCAGATAACATCTTATAATCCAGGATGTGAGAATCAATACTAGCCGATCAATGCACATAATGCATATACAGATGAGGGAAAATCCCTCTTCAAAAGTAGTGTATAAATTCAACCCCGTTGTGGGACTGTTTAAATTTATTCCCATGGAAGAAAACGTGTCTGTGTAGGCCGAGGACTCAAGAGAACGCTTACATTTGGTTCAATGTATTCATGTGTAAAATCCTCAACCGATCCTATGCAAACCAAATAGAAAATTCCATTTAATGTTATTCCACCAGTGCTATTTGCATCCCAGGGTCTCTTGTCTTCTCCCAGTTCCAGATATATACATTACCATCCCTGTATAGCCCTACAGCGCTACAGGTTTGAAATTAAGGATGAAATTAAGTTGAGCAAAACTAATGATGGTTGGATGAACCCTGCTTCTTATTCCCATTTATGGTTCCAGCAGAATCCAAACCATGATTGATGCTGGGCCAGCACCACACATTACTTCTGGCTATACACACAGTGAAGCTTGTGTTTGTCTCACCTGAATGGCTGAGTGATGAACTGGGTGTCATTACCGACGATGTACGTTAGTCGAAATGGAGCCTGAAGACTTGGCACACATCTATTCTAATGTCTTAGAGACGGTATGTAAGGAAAGCCCTGCGCTGCGGTGGCAGTCAATTGTGAAAAAAAAAAAAATGCCTAAGGAGATTCTTTTTGTTGCAACGATTATTTTTTTTTTAAAGTGAAAAATAGATGGCAAAAAAAAAAAAAAAAAAAAAAACATTGGAATTGAACACCATGCTAGCAAGAAGATACAAAAACATTATTTATTTATTTTTCGGCCTGAAAGTTGTGGTGGTTCCCTGTTTGTTCATGGGGATTTGATTGGATGGTTGTGGTTTGCTATTGGTGGACCTCGTGTGAGTGACAGGTTGTCCCGCCTTCACACCGGTGAACACATCATCAGAGAAGAGATGAGGTCCCCGCAAGATAGAGTTATGTGGATTAGAAATTATAAGGGCACGTGAATTTCTAAAACATTGTGTTCATGGATAAATCATTTATAGTAAATACTGAAATGTTCTACAAAAAAAAAAAAATGTCAATTTTGATTTTATATGAAGTTTTGAAGTTAAAACAAGGTTTGGGAGGAGCACGTTCAAATAAATAATTGCAACCAACTCGTCACCAAACAATTACATGTCAGCACGAGAGGAAGCATATATAAATATTTTCTGTCAACTCATCTAACATTCCTTGACAGTTTAAGCATCTCTCCACCACCCCGACTCCTCACTCCTGGTTTATTTTTCACAGTCAGGAATACGGGGGGGAGTACTCTGGGTTCGGGCCACATACCGAGCCCGGAGCCCTCTCCTTGGACAGCACGCCAAATATGCATTTATTCTATCTGACTTATTTGTAAGCGTGAACTCGTGAAGGTGACTTTAGCTTTGTGTCACTTTTCCCCACCAGTGACACAAAGCTATATGATTCCATTCATTTTCAATGGAGAGACGACTTCTGGCGATCCAAAATCCCCAAATCCCCTTGGAAATATTTGATTAAAAGCCATTTGTAGTGGCATCTGCATAGTGGATGTTATCAAGTGCATCATTCTATCCAACGCATTCTCACCCCAAGGCGTCACCTTTGACCATGCTTCAATATTTGACGTTTTAGGCGCCTTTTAGCGTCACTTACATGACGCGATCCTACGGCGTCATCTAACTGACGCTAAAGGAAAGCGTCAGTTAGAGGACGTGGTTAGGTTTAGGTGTGGGGTGGGGGTAGGGTACAC